ACATGTCGTGACTTAAACATAAGAACATATTATGGCTAAGGCTACAGTTATACACGTCATAATAATAATATTAAACACCCTGTCTGCTGACAGTCATCAACTCTTCTCTCTAGTTATCCTTGACCAGATGTACCCTGTAGAAACTCATAAGCATGACTAAGCATTTAACAGTCTAACTAGACACCCTATCTCCACTAAACATTTCTAATACATAAAGTATCTATCCAATATCTATCTGACCAAAAATACCTAACAAGAGGAATCATCGAGTCCGTTCTCTGCACCTCCATCCCTGTCTAGTTTGGCTCATCTACCAAACAGGACAAGAACAGACTTCAGCGCACAGTCAGGACTGCAGAAAAGATCATCGGTACAAGCCTGCCCTCCATGGAGGACCTGTACACCTCATGGGTTCTACAGGAGGGTAGAGAAGATTTCTGCAAACTCCTCACACCTGGGACACAATCTGTTTGAACTCCTCCCCTCTGGACAGTGCTACAAATCACTGTGCGCCAAGACAACCAGGCACAAGGACAGTTTCTTCCCTGGAGCCGTCACTCTGATTAACACTTAACCCATGACAATATGACTGGACAATAACCCTCAGTGCAATACCTGTGAATGTACATTGTACAGATTATACAGATTTGTACAGATTTCTATTTTTATTTTTAAGTACTCTATTTTTATTCTAATTTTATCTCGTCTCCCAATGAGCATTCCTTTGACTGACTGCATTATTTACTGCCTGTTTATACAGTTTATTTTGTTATACTACACAGCCTTATGTTGGAATATTGTTTACTCGCCCCTTGCTGTTGCCTTGCATGGGGATATGTACGTGCACATTGAGAGCTGCTGTACCAGAGTCAAATTCCTCGTGTCCTACACACCTGGCCAATAAAGCTGATTCTGATTCTGATTCTGAAAATACATATGTGATCAATAAAGTAAACCACCAGGGTGTTGTCCTGTTTTTTTGTTCTACCTTTTTTAGTGCTGTCATCTCTTTCTGTAACACATGCTGAAAGACATAAACACCCATATTAACTCACAAACATGCACATTGATGGGGCATAAACCAATGACACCTGCTGCCTGATTAGACTATAACAAAGCAGCAGAAACTGTCCATCAGCACAGTAATAATCTATCCTGGGTCAGTCAACCAATGATGCGTCCAAATCTGAGCTCTCGCTAAATGACAGCTTCCTGCAGAACACAGACAACCTTGTCTAAATAAGGACACGTTACTCACACTTTGACACAGCACACACTGTCCCTGTACAGGATTCAGCGCCAGATTTTCTCTGCTTTTCGTCTTCAGTCTCGCTTTTTTCCTGTTGATGGAGCACAAACAGACTAAGTTTGCATGATGGTTCCCCGCTCAGAAACCTAATGATGTTTTAATTGTCACAAATGGTGTCTGTAGGAGGTAATGGTGTCTAGAAAACCAGCCAAATGTGTTGTCTTCATCTTGATTGTCATCCTCATCCACCCTCACTCTCATTGTTTCTTTTTACTTTATAAATTCTTCTTTTTGTCATTCTACTCTGGTTAGATGAAGGAGAAAAAATGTGGAAACATTGGGAATCTTATTCCTGTAGGTTGCCCAACTGTTCCACTGGGACAGCTGACAGGTTTTGACTTGAGAAATCTATTTTTGTATTTACAGCAAGTAGAGCGGTCCTTTGCTACTGAGGCATCCCCATCAGTCCCCGCAGTGTGAAGCAGGCTGAGCAAAGTCAGTCGGTCAGCTAGTAAAACTAAGAATGAACATAGATATTTTTTGGTTCCTAGAGTGAATGTTATAAAGCAGATCAATGATGATGTGTTTTTTTCAAAGATAAGATGAGTGGATGGACTTTATTTATTTATTATTGCAGTGGTACATATTGATTTTCAATAGTCTGCTGGAGAAACAAACACACAGCAGAATGGGGTACAATGGGGGTATTAATGCATGTTAAAACATTAAATTCTTTGCAAGAATCAGGCCATTTTATTATAGAAGTATGCAGCTCAGCTGTACATGAAACAGGCAGAGGTCATAGTAAGTTTTTTTTACATGGTGATGAGCCTGTCACTACTGTTACAAATACAGAAACTGTAACAATTGGTGTCCTCAGAGCGGGGGACAAAGCAATACCTGAAAAATGTTCTGTTCAGTTAAGATTTTTTTTTACAGTCCACATTGTTGACTGCTTTTTTTATTGTCTCTGATTTATGTGTCCAGTGGTTCTACATTTCTCAGACTTGCTCAATCCGCAGTACTTTCTATACTCTCTTGTATCTCTGTCCTGTCTCTCCCAGTGTTCCTTCTGTTCATGATTTGTTGCTCTTGAGCTGCGGAAACAGAAAGCAGGCATGTTAAAGAAAAATGATAGGAATATAGTTAATCCCTAAGAAAAATTAAAAACATGTCAGATTAAAGAGAAAAATCAAAACATGACAGTCAGCTCTGTTTTCCTCTTTGTCAAGCACAAAATCTAAAGCCCTGCATAAAACAGTGTGACAGCAGAGCGTGAGAGTACCTACTGCCTTAACACCTGCCACCATGACATCAGAGCAGCAGCACTCTGGGAAACAGGTCTAACCTTTCCTGGGTTTGCTGTAAATGAATCGTTATCATCTCCTGACACTGGAGAGCCCAAAGACAGCCGAACAACAAACATGTTTTAAAAGTACTGTACATGTTCTTCATTGAATCAAGCAATATGGATAAAATGCTCCAGTGCCAAAGAGGAAGCGAGAAGACTGCTGAACGAGAGGGCAAATGAGATTTACTGTACAGCACGCAGAAGCTTAAAGCAAGTAAAATATGATTTTCAGACTCATACATGAAATGAGGAGAGTTCAGAATGTTCTGTCATAGTATTAAGACAGCATTTCACCTTAATAACATTAGGAGGCACAGTAATTTTAGGTTTGTAGTCACCTTCAAGTCTATTCAGAACTAGAGTAATGAGTGTGCAGTGAAGTGATTTGAATTGACCTGGCTTTTGTTATCGGTCAGAATTGAAGCTGTATGGAGACGAACGTTGACAGGTGGAAGGCAGAAGTGCAGACCTTGAGCTTGTTGACCTATGTAAACTGAAAGTGCGTGGCAGTGTCTGCCGTTAGGTCAGAAATGTCAGCCCTGACTGGTGCCTAACCATGGAAGCAACAGACTGAGGGGGTGGAATTGAATGAATAGAACAGAACAGATAACAAATTTTTCATTTTCATTGCTGGCAAAAGCTATGATATAGTCAGACTCATTCATGTAGGGGTTGTGTTTTGTACCTGTGGATGATAACTATGCTACATACAGGAGAAAATCAAATATGGAAAAAGATGCTTTAACAACTTATAGTGCCACATTGATTGTAACTGTGATTCATAATGGGGCAGGTTTGCCCCAGTTTAGCCCTATTATCCAAGCCACTTACTGAACATGAAAACAAAGGTAGCTGTTAAAATTGTTATCTGAGCTCTCCATTGTAAACATGCATTTGAATTTTAAGAACTACTTTAGACTGCTTCAACTTTTTCCACTGTACTCGAGTTATATATGCATTCAACTTAATAACTGATGATTATAATAAGCACTTTGGGGGCACTAACCTTTATTTTCTCCCTGAGTAAGTGGTTTAGTGATTATGCACTACACTGGGAACTGCAGCTACTTAGATTTGGTAGATTAAGCTGCAGAATGAGAATACAACCTATTGGAGTGATCAATGAAGCAACAAAACACCTTTTTCCTTTTATATCTGCATCTGTCTTTTAAAACCATGGTTTTACAGTACGTCAATGTTCTGCTCATAATTGTCGGGTTTTGTTTATAATTTATGTCCTACAGCGATTCCAAAAGCAATTTCCACTGTGGTGACAACCAAGTTCCCAACAAACTAAATAAGACTCAGGTTATGACAAGACTAGAAAGTTCCTGTGTTGACCAGAAGGCAGCCCCTGTTGTCAAGGCCGCCGGCAGCTAACACCTGCATCTTTAACTAAGAGCCATATTGTAGCCTTGTGTCTTGTTCACATCAGCCAACAGATGTCTTTCCCAATGTTCTCATTGTGTTATTAATTTCAGCAGATCTGTGTCAGTCAAGTTTATGATCTTCTGCAGAAGCAAATCTCTTTTATTCAAGTGGCTGTCATTGGTGGTTGTGAGCATTTTACTAGGCTTTCCATAGGCTTACTACAGTAATCCCGTCCAGCTCCTGACCAGTCACACAATGCAAAGAATAATGATCTCACTTTCAATTTCTCACCAGCAACACAGAACAGATTCCTGAAAGTATTGTTTGCTACTGTTTGTGCAAACATCAGACAATCCCACATTCATCCACACCGCACACTGCAAATGGAATTAAACTGGTTCGTCTGCGTAGGTTGAAAAAAGTTTGAGACTTTTTTACTGAATAGTTTTCATGATTGATGCACCTACAAGACAACAACTGTTAAATCTCTCTGTGAATTGGTGACTTTATGCTGCTTCTGAAATTTCCTTTTACTTCAGAAGTGATAACTGTTCAATGTACTTTTGAAGTACCAATTGGCATTCAACCAAACATGACTCACACATTCAGAGTCTCGTAGCCTTTGTAAATGTCCTTGTTACTGTGATGTTTCTGTTTGGTGCAGCAGAACAAATTAACCCTGACATTAAACATCCTATTGTGATTTTGACAAATTGCCATGATGCTTAATAATGTGTAAGTGCTTACTATAAGAATCCCTTTAGTGATGCTTGGCTAGAAATAATAACCATTTCTTCAACCCCTCCCTCTTTTTTTTTTATAGATTTTCCGCCGAGCAGACAAAAATGGTAAGTAAACAATACTGTACATAACATGTTTGGTGATGAATAATTGGTCACAATGCTTGTTGGTTCACCACATTCTTCCATTTGTTATTATGCCTCAGACCTCCAGACAATCTGGGCGGACAAATAAGATATTTGTATGAATGGCTCTTCATGTGAAGCTCCTGTCTTCTTAATGCTCCAAAATGTTTCTCCACCCAATTAAAATGATGCTAAAATGTTGGATTATAGCTACGACTTGAAGAATATGTCACACAAAATAAAGCACTCCCTGTCAGTGCTGACACAGATGACTGGGTGCTGTTTATAAATGACCATGAGTCATGTTATCACAGACTGAGCCAAATTATTTTTTCTAGCAGTAAATCACTGACAATATGGCTTCATTAAGCAAGTGCAAACACTGGGGGGGTTATACCAGGATATAACCAGGATATTTGTACACACACATGCAGCCATGCTTCCTCTAATTACAAGGTGATGTGTTTAGCTTTTCCTTAAGTTCACATGTGATCACTGCTAAAGCTTTGGTACTATAAAGCAGATAAGTGTAAGAAATGGCCCCTATGAAATGTGGAACTTTTGCCTGTTTCAAACAAAAGTTGACATTTGTGAGAGAAATCTTTGTTTGTCATACAGAATTAATGGTCCCACAGTTTTCCCAGTGACTGAAGAATAAAATTTCCACAGCGTAACTGCTGCAATTATGTATACAAACCAACCAACAAGTCACACTAAATAACACTGAATACCATGGGCAGAGCTGGGAGTGTCCACCCCCAGGAGCTGATAGGCCACCCCTGGTGCCATCCCTGCTAGAGTCAAAACATGATGCTTGTCATTATTAATAAATGAAATACAATGACAAATTGCGTAAATATAACATTTTTCTGGTGCTTTATAATTGATATTGATCAAATTAGTTTTATTTTAAATCCTGCATGCAGCATGATGTTTGCATTCAATTCTCTGATTGTGTTGTGGACGTCTTGGCATGATTTGCCTCATTGTGGGGTGAGGGGGTGGGGGCGGATCACCGTGCAGCAGCGATGTCCCCAGCTAGGAGTAAATAAGGAGCACAGCCAAAGTTCACTAAAAAAAGCACTGTGTGTCTCATTTTTACACAAAATAAACAATTTAATTCTTAATAATTTATTATTATTTCAGAACTGAGGATTTAATTTATTTTGAACATGTATTTAAAATGTGCCACCCCTCTCTGAGTCTGTGCCCCAGCCTGGCCACCCTGTCCAAATTTTTCTAGATCCGCCCCTGCTGAATACACTAGCCAAAAGAAACATTATAAACACTACATATTTTGTAGCTACCACAGTGGCATGCACGTGTCATGGTGCTATTTTTACGTAATACAATATGATAACCAGGAAGTCCAGACTTTGATCATAAAATCTAACATCTTTCAAAAATGACATTTCACAATCTGATTCAGATTACAACCAAGATTTTATGACACACTCACACAGTGTAACAGGCAATGTACCTGTAAGATGACTGTTACTGCAGGGTATATAGGGCCCTCAAGAGTACTAGAGATTTGTAAGGTGTGGTGATTAAACCATTGAAGCATTACATGGACTCAAAGGGGATCTGTTCTAGTTTCTATTTGTCTCAATAAGCCCTGGACACCATCGCAGGGCTTAAATATCACCGGTCTGTCATGTTAAATGCATTCAGGAAGTTGTATTATGATGAAATGACAGTTTTTGTTATGCCCACTTCCCCTTAGGCTGTCTCATCTAATTTTACCTGAGTGATTATCTACAGTTTTGAATTTGTGCTAGATGAGCTGAATTAATAGTACATTTAAAAAAAATCCTGACATTTAAAATATCTTTTCAGTATTGAAGATGGGGCTCCTTCCCTCCACTGGTGCTGTAGTTAAGAATGCCCTACCTAAAAATATATTTATTTATGTCTAACTAAGATGAAATAAGGTGCCAAAGCAAATCAGGAAAAAGTGGACATCAACAGGATATTGCTGCATTTAGAGGGGCTGTAATCAGCATGCCTCCAAACTGCAATTACTTCTCAATAGCTCTTAACCTTCGGTACAATGAGTTTTGTACGTGATGAATTGCTCTGTGGCATCCAGCCAAATATATTTGCTGTTTGATGTTTGTTATATGGACTTCTGCTGACGTAGCTGTCATTACTGCACTAGATGTGGAGACAGAAGGGAAGCAATGTTCCTATGAAAGAAAAACACAAAGACAGCACTGACAATTTACTACACCCTAGCAATAAACACCACTGTGATTACACCCAGGTAAAACAAATACAAATGAGGTCTTTGGCAGTAAGGATGAACTAGTATTTTATTTCAAATATGTCTTCAGGTGAAGTAGCCTAATATACAATGAGATACAAGAGCCTTTATTGACTTAGGCGGTGAAACAATATGAGAACTAGTGTGAGTAGTATGACAAAGCAATCAGTCTAGCTTTTAAATGTATTGCATTGTCTTCATCAGCTCTTACAGATTTTTCCATATTCTTCACCTTTGAGTTAATGAACTTGCACGCCAACAGATCATCTCCATGACAACTGAGAAAATTTGCTCTGGGCAAATGCAGGAAAATGTGAGCCTTGAGTTGAGCTTATTGTTAAAAACAAATCCCCAAAGCATATCCTGCTTTGAATGGTTTAAGACTCACTTTTATCCATTTGCATGAAATCCTGAAAATAATCAGCCATCTTACATAACACTAACAGACACAACCTAATTGGCAAAATGATCACAGATCAGTAGGCTACTCTTGTTAAAAATATTTATGTATAACAGTTTAAAATTTGTGTACAAAAACTGCTGGAAACTGGTCAAAAATTGTTCACATTTTGCTGTAAAAATATTTGCTTTGTGTATTCAGATGTTCAGATTTTCAATGCATATCTAATACATATTTTCAGAGTGATATGAAGATTTAATATTCTCTATTTTTTCAGCTTCTAATGAACTTACCCGACATCTACTCCAATATTGTTGAGAGGACCAGTCAGCTTTGGATTATTAGTGGGGTGGAAAACAGGGAAGCAGTTGGATATGTGGTCTAAAAGCAGCATGCAGGCTTAAATTAGGCTCTGGAAGCTAAAAAGCAGCTTATATCACAGACATCCTCACAGATGGCCTGGTGGAAGACATCATAAGTAGAGCAGTGATACTAACAATATCAGGAATGGCTTGGATATACAGCATGCATAGGACTTTACCAAAACAAGACCCGTCTCTTATAGTAAAACTAGTTGTATTGAGGTTGTGATGCATTTATGAGCCACTTATACTGTACAAGGAGAAGCTGCAATAGGACTAATCTTTGGGGAGTGTGGCCTACTTTACTTTAAATACCTTCCTCATTTACTCTTGGTTACTGAGCACTTTGCTTAGACTCTTCTGGCTTTTTAAATGAGAAGGAGGAAAGGTCAAAAACAAGTTGTTGTTGTTGTTGTTGTGCTGTTCTGTAGAATGAGTGCACACCAGCCTCACAATCTCTTTGTAAGCACTTTTGTCAACTTGAAATTCCTAAGTGGATTTTCTCACTCGGTATAAAGAACGATTTATGCATTTTGCTTTTGACACAACTCTATGATTTATGGCTACTTTCTTTTGCTGTAATAGTGGAATTTTTTGTGCAGCAGTCTGCTGCATAAAGGCTTTAACTGTGTAGGTTTTGGTTCATTTCAAAGGGGGATATTATACAGTTAGCTGGTACTTTTTGTTCTCAGGTGCACTGTGACTATCCTTTGCCACATCTGTGTTCAATGTACTGGCGGTGTATTGGTTTCAAATGAAACAGCAATAGAGACAAATTGCTTCTGTGATAAATGGTTATAGTTCATATATACTTCATAATTCCCATACTTCTTATGATTGTCATAAAGGTGTAGTGTTTTACTGGGTATTTTCTTCTTAGAAATCGCTTGATGAGAAACCTTGATGAGTACCTGTACTATACTGTAAGTCTAAATGTGGACATTATGAGTGATCTTGAAATAGGTGATCTGCTTAGAAGACCTAGTGCTGCGTACAGATAATATATTGAATGTCATTGAACTATGCATGGATGATTTATTAATTTAAAGGCATCAGCTGCAGCAGCTCTGATTGCAGAAGATGATGTAGAGCCAATGAAAGTCAATGACATTTCAATGCAACTAATTTTTAATAAAACACGACACTGGTTAAAGGCCACAATGTAAGGTGTAAATATAGAAACTGAAATTTAATGGTGGATGTTGTACATATGCAAACTGCAAGCGATAGAGAGAGTTTATGAACCTTGCAGGTTTGTGGTGACAAAAGCTTTACCTACTGTATATCAGTACCCCAAAGTTCATATACTCTGATCTATGACAACAAATCAAAACAATATAGGTCAGTGACAACTATTACAGCTGTGTAACATATCAGAAATGATGAACATCACTTCAAAATGACTGCTGACTGGACAAGGGTGTCCTATTTGGCAAATAAGTGTTGCATCAATTGCTCCATCTTCCTATCGGTTATCAAAGAGATGCCTGGTGATACGTAAATTGGAATTGGAAGAGACAAACAGGAATACGTCTTGAGCTAATAAACACATAATCCCCCCAAATGACTGTGGATCTTTATTGTTCTGACACTGTTAATACCATCTTCATTGCCATCTGTCACAATTGTCCCTTTAAGGGCCTGGGTGAAATTTAAAGCAGGACAGCTGTTTGCTGTTTAATATATGTAAGATAAATATATACATTTACAACTTTGACTTTTTTTTCACCAAATATGCCGGCTAGCCTTCTAGACCTCAGACCAAATATATTCCAAGAAAAACATAATATTGTGTGACATTTACACACAGGAATCACTTGAAATGGCTTTAATCTGAGCACACAATGCTGAAACTTTGACCCTGGTGTCACCTAACATGGAATAAATGACAGTACCTTGTAACCATCCACCTCCCAGAACCACTCTCTCTGCCTTTAACTTAAACTAAGCAGACCCTCCTCCATAGGTAGCAGTTTAGCTGCTCCTAGGCTGGCTTTCCACGTATTAATACACACAAACCAGTTGTGCTGACAGTCAGCACAACTCTATGAAATCATCAATTTGTATGTAAATTCAGTGGTGGGAAACAGCCTTAGTCACTCAAAAGCCAAAGAAAACAATCTGCAAAATGTACCAAGAAACCAAAAAAAATCAACCCTATTAGCCATCTAACAAGCAACTCAAACTCTTTTCTCTTTGTCATAAATCTCTATGATAATAAAAGATGTCAAACACATACAGCTGTGTATTGTTGTGGTCACCTTAATCATGAAGAAGACATTTAACCCAGATCTGTCAAATCTAACAGAAGAGACTGACACTAGTCATCATTATTTATCAGGAGTGTCACTTCCGGGCATAACTACCGTGTGTTCCAAATACAACCCTGTGAGAGAAGACAACAACATATGGATGGATATTTAGTCTCAGATGGCAACAACATTTAAATAAAACCTGTGATGATAGGTAAATAAGTGTAATGATAATACATGAATGTAGTTTCCTGATAAATGCTCTATATAAAATCTATTAAAAGGTAATGGCCTTCATCTTCATCTACAAGAATAACATAATGTTCTTCTTTTGTGAACTGGGAATGACTGTGTTGATCCGAATGATTTCATAGAGAAATTTTTAAAATTACTTTCCCAGCAATGCTAGTTTTAAGGTTCATGTGGTGGAAGGTTCTGATGAACTGTAGCCGTTTCTTTTTCATTAAATAGATTTATATGGTGGTACAGTTATATTAATGTTTTACTTTTTATCTCTGACAGAGGAACAGAGTCAAATTGGAAATACATTTTTCTTTCATCTCAAAAATCTTGCGGTCAGTTTGGCTTTGCTCTCTACGTGGAAGAGGAAAATACAGATAGAGAATAGGAGGAAGATTAAAAAAAAGAAAAAGTGAGCCAGAGTGGCGAGGGCCATGCATTATCTTTGACCAGTACATTACACATTCTGGTCAGAGGTAATGACAAGCAGTGCCAAACCAGCTCCAGCTGAACAGATGGTTTTCAAGCTTGCCCTTGAGTCTTCAGCTTTGCTGAGTCAACCAGCTGGAACTCCATGGCATATTAAACTGCTCTCATTTTACCTTGTCATTGTGTAGACAGGGTCATTATTTGGGCAGATGACTCAAACCGACAGTCATCCTGCATTCAGAAGGTTTAAAACCAGATCCAAATAAAAAGTGAGTGGGAATAGTTTCCATATGGGTGCAACAATGACATGACTGGATTTCTGTTGTTTCAGTAGGTGTCTGGCCTTTTTAACAAGACCAGTCAGTTTGCAGCATACTTATTGTATTGCATACAATACTTCACAGTCATATTGACCCATGTCCATCTTAGCTCTGCTTTAATCTCGGTCACATTAGTTGGCTTTGCAACTCCTTCCAATATACAGTACTTCTGCTTCAGCTTTCTGGCTTCAAATTGTTCTCCTTAGATACTAGACTATCTGGTTTTGGACTCATTTACAAGGATTAAAACATCTAGCAGCTTCCCTTAGCAGTCTAACTGCTGACTGATCTGTGTAATCTGTGCCAGTACACAGACTGATAGTAGGCTCATGAAGGAGCACTTTTTCACAGATGATAACCAAGCCATTTATCTTCTGCTATTGATTTTTCTGTGCAATGTCTGCCACAACAAGCTGTGTTCACAGTTAACTAGTCTGAGAAGAAGTAGAAAATTCCAATCTGCTGACAGTATGGAGCTTTGTCTGGGTATAATTTGTGTATTATTTCTATGAAGTATTTGCTATTTTACACATTAGGTTTGAGCTATACATCCCAAAAATATAAAACTTGTGTTTTATAGTTCATATATAGTGCATGCAGCAAATCCAAACTCCAGTAGAATTAGTTAGTTGATTTGCCAGAAAAAGAATGATTAACAATTTTGATGACTGATTGATTAATTGTTTAAATCAAGATTGTTGAGTGGACAAAACAAGCAAACTGGATCCTTGAAAAGTGTGATTATTTTTGTAGTCAATTTATACTCTGCTTAGAAAAATAATCGAATTTACTGAACAGAAAACTAATCACCGTGCAACGTGGACCTGCACTGCACATCAAGAATAGAATGGAAACAACATGGTAGAAAGGATACTGATGAAACCAAAGAATTAATTTGCACTCATCTGATTCCCATCAGCTTGAAAGATGAGTTTGTTGTTACACCAGAGTTATAGACAAAAGAGAACAATAGATTTAGATTACAGTTTATTTTTGCTGAAAAATCTTGGGCTGATTGTTAGGTCTTTATAATCATACAGGTTACATTCAAAGTAACACTGTACTCTAGGTTCTAATTATGGTGTTATCTCTGTCATAATGTATTCCAACGCCTCCTTTGTGTTACAGATGATGGCAAGCTATCATTTGAAGAATTCAATGCCTACTTTGCGGATGGGATCCTGACCACTGAGGAGCTACAGGAGCTTTTCTACTCCATAGATGGCCGACAAAATAAGTGAGCTTTGAATTTGAAATAGCTCTGATTTTAATAATCTATCACAGTGATTAATGATTCGTTATTAGATTTTTTTTTTTCTATAAGTGCTGTTTTAGGTAGTTACACAAACGCTTAAAAGCACAGTTAATGTGTTCCTTTCCAGTCATCAGTTACATGCTAAATGCCTCTCAGCTGGAGGGAGGTCTTTAGTAAAAATTAGCCCTGCAAACAAACTTAGGCAGGCTGAATTAATGTTACCCCCTTCCTTTGGTCCTATGGACTACAGCATCCACTTCTCCTCTGAAATTGCAATCAAAGAAATCAGCCTCGGGGTAGCTGCTGAAATCACTGGTCTGCAGAGAATGTTTAACTCACTGCAGTCAGAGAAGGAGAGACAATGTCTCCCCTTTCATGGTAGATGTAATAGTTTTAAATTTCATCCTTTTATTAAATCCATTTGTCAAGACGATGCACTTAAGGCCCTATCCTGCAACAAACGCATGGTGTGCGGCGCAGGTAGCGTGTCTGTTACCTAATTTCCTACCTGTGCAATTATCGCTTTCATGACATGCGCATCACGTTGCCTTTTTTTACCAAGCAGCAGTTTGTTGACTTCATGCTGGCAGGTGAAATGAACATGAAATGAACATGAACACACCCGAGCACCGCTTGACCCAATATATCTTGAACAGACTCCACAAATTCTCTGAATATGACTCAGGCTGGACCTGGATAACAAGAGAACAGTAGTGATAACACTTTGAGAGAACCGGGCAGGTACAGGAACAGAGTCCATGGAGATATAAAAATAAAACCCCACAGAGCAGGTAAGACCAGGAACATGACATCATTTGTCATTCGCCTGTTATTTTTGGCAGACTGTGACTTTGTATTCATGAGAAGACAGTTTGCTGAACAATATTCTTCATGCACGATGGCAAAGTGCAAAACACAAATTTATGGTAATAAGCTGTGTTAACAGAGGTTTTACTGATTTGTAAGATTACAGTATTGACACAATTCAGACCAGATCATTTCTCTAGCAGAAATGAGCAGCAGCACATCTTTTTCTAATGAACTTTCTCAATATTTTTCCCATTTATCTCCTCTCATGCTCCGTCCTGCAGTAACTTGGACACTGATAAGCTATCAGGTTGGTGGGAGAGTACTTTGTCTGACTGAATGTGACACAGTACATCAAGTTTTGTAAAACCTTTTAAAATTCATTGATATTTGTTGATCCATATTTTTAGATGACTAATAGTTGATTTTAGATGATTCTCATCACTAAATAAAGTGACGAGAAATAGGGCAGAGACCTGTAAATACCAGTAGTACCCAGAATAAAACATTTGCCTAATTTATTGAATGGTAATGGCATCTTTTCCATTTGATGTCAAAAGAAGTTGATTGTTTTCCACAGCAAAATGTTCCTCTTTCCTCAGATTCAGGTCACTGAACATTTATCACTCATTGCATCATGTTCTTTTGACCAGAGTTTACAGAATGATGGTGTAAAATTCAGTTGCTGAATCACAGTGTTGCCTGTGTGTCACAAGCTATTAAATGCAGTCTTTGGTTATATTAAAACTGGGCATTTAATTAAGCGGTGAGAACTAATAAATACTGATTCTGATTTTGATGTCTTTCTCTGATTTATTTTGTTACAAAGGGTTTGTAAAACTTTCCCTAAACAGCATCTTACTGTGATTTTGTTAAGAATTTAACAAAATTATTTTCTCAGCTTTGTAAATGCCATCATTAACAACATAAATATGAAAGTGTGAAGGAGTTTCTTCACATCATTTGGCCATATGATAAATTAATCTTCACAGCTTCTGTCACAAACAGTACACAGGTGTGAGCTGTTATAACACTAGGTGATTCAAATGCTGATTAAAACAACACATCAATTTTTTTGACATGGTGCACAGGCAAGTGAACATTAAATGCTTCCAACTTGACTTGTTTATGAAAATAAACCTGGATATTTTTCCCATTACTACGCTATTATCACTGCTCTTGTCATCGTCTTCTTTTATTTGGATTATATCATGGCAGCATCTAAGACTTTGTTTTCAACTTTCAGTGAGCAAAATAAAGTTTTAATTGTTCGCTGCAGTGACACTGACAGCTTGTTTCTGATTTTCTGTTAGATTATTTTTCTCAGCACCTGGGGGAGTATCTCAATGTCCTCTCAGCTCTGGAGAGCCTGAACATTGCCATTTTAAAGGCAATGGATAAAACCAAAGAGGTAAAGTTTCACCAAAATCTATAGAAACTACTTCTTTTGTCTTTAAAATTGATGTTAATGTGAGCTATTCACAATAATGTTTTCTCTTTGATTTCTACTAATGAAGCTGAGAAGACATGTCCACTCTTAGTCTGAGTGTTGGTGAATTTGAATCATGTAATTACTGCAGGAAACTATTCATTTCATGTGTTGCGGTAAGTTTAACAAAAACCTCAAAGATTGTGTCAGGCTGTTTTTGCACAACCTGACATTTTGCGCCCCAGTCAAAATATTGCATAATTGCCGTTGACAGCTCATTTTAAACTCCCCCGAGAACTTTCTGAGTTAATGGAATAGAAATCAGCAATGCCTAGTAAATGGGAAAGAGAAAGAAGATATGTACTGAGAAAAATGTGTTTTAATTAGATCACCTTGCTCCTCTAGTCTGACTCTTCTTTAAAGCCGCTGGAGTAGGAAAATCCACAGAGGATTGTGCTATCGCTAGTTAGCAGCTCTGGTATGTCCAGTGCTCTGGATTGCTAATCCCATGATGCACTTTCAGTAGAGCCCACGTGTCATTGTAGGTTTATCAAAAGAGCTGCTGCACGGTTACTTCATTAACACATTGTGTGAATAAGTGTCCTTTGAGAATGCCTAATTGTATTTGTGTATGGGGACTGGAGCAGCAGTGTTTCTTCCTCACCTTGGAATTTGAATATGCATTACTGAATAATGTATGTATTCAAAGAATTACTAGTCAGTTTAACTGCAGCTATCAAGCATTTTAAAAAGCCTGTACTGTAGTTGTTCTGTAGAAGTTATAAAATATATTTCTTTCCATTTATGCACGGCCTATCTTGCCTCTAGATGCTCCTAACATTCTTGTTGCTTGTGTTTGCCAGTCATCTGCTTTAACGTTCCCTTCCATATGTCACTATTTATCTTTCAGGAGTACCAGGGTTCCAGTGTGCTGGGCCAATTTGTCACCAGGTTCATGCTCAGAGAGACATCCAGTCAGCTGCTGTCTCTACAGAGGTCACTGCAGTGTGCCATGGAGGCTGTGGAAGAGCAGAGCAGCCCTACCCTGTTAGTACTGCAATATGACACTGTCTGTATCATGTGTTACTTGCAGACACTATATGCACTATACTATATTATGACCTTGGAGCAACTTAGGCATGGCTGACTGACACGAGTCCTGATTGGCTGGCAGGTCTCTGTTACTGTCCTATATCAGGACAAAATAGGACCTTTGTTTACATTCAGTTTGAAAGCATCATTGAGAGTATTATGGTATATAGTGGAAACTAAGAATATCTAGAATGTCTCCAAAAAGAGTTACCAGTGTCCTCCTTTAACCATAGCAATGCTTCTATATCCTTAAACATGGCCAAGTGTTTAGGTGCTTCAGCTTGAATGCCTCATCATGTCAAATCCAAAACCACAAAATCTCTAACTTAACCTTACAGACCAGGGTCACGGAGACCAGACCACAGTTGGCATGATGTTGTCACTCTGCCGACATGTTACCAGATTGTCAGCTCATGGAACAACGTCTATCTTGCTATTTTGTGTTCATTTTATATAATCTATTTTTTAGGTTCTACCTAAATTTTCTCTAGGTTTGAGCATGTAGGCTACACAATAAAACCTATGTTGATGTTTAGGTGAGGCCTTGCAGTCTGTAAAGTGTATAAACATTGGAATTAGCAGAGGAAATGCCACGATGAAACATGTTTTTGCAGGCTGAAAACTGGAGGCAAAGACTAATGAAACCCAGTGAGTGTTGTTTTGTTAAATCAGCTTTTGGAAGTGTTCATGCTGGCATCTGCAGAGAAGTGATGGAGGAACTGTCAATCAGTTGAAAAACTCATTCCATGATGTCTCTTTTAAGAAAACCTCATTCATAGCTTTGCCAGAACACAATTTGAGTGAAAGTGAAAATGTCTGTGAAGTTTGGTCTAAGCAAAAAAAAAAAAAAAAATTAGTCTAATCAGCTGAATGCCCCTCAGATACCCCTCTTCTAAGATATGCCTCTCAGCATAGAGCTTTGAATCTGACACATGCTCACAGTCATTCTGTTGCTTCACTAATAGTCATGCTGCTTAGACTTCAGTATTTCTCTCACAGCCTAATGATTTCATTAAATGTAAATAAAGCTCATAAAAAACAACCACTAGATATAAGCCTGTACTTCATACTTTTCTTAATTCATTGTAGCTCCTCAAGCTAAGAACGGGTTCACACATGATGCATGACTTTTAAAAGAAATTCAGTGCAGAAGATACTGAGAGAAACAATCCAATGCATTTAATGGGCAGAAAGTTTTCTAAACACAAGTCAATATCATGACAAAATGTTTTCAAACACTGTTTATCCAAATGACTGCTAACATTTTAAATGACAAGGACACTTGTCCCCCACTTTTTGTGGCTAGTTTGGTAGCACCACTTGAAGTCGGGCTGTCTGTTGCACTGCAACTCTCCTCTCTCCCCTATGGGTGCCACACAGATATTATTAGAAATAATGGAGCAATTATAGTCAAGTTGAATTATTGTGAGGGGACTGGTTGAGACAGAGAGGGAGCAGAAGGGGAAAGGATGAATAAGGATGACACTGAAATACAGAGCAAGTGACTCACAAAGAAAAAAGCAAACAAAGAAAAATGAATACAGAAAACAAATGAATGAGAGAACGGTGCATAAAGTCAGAGAGATTGATAAATAGATGTTGCAATGAGAAACAATGAGTCTGTGAGTGCTTGGAGGGACAGAATTAGAGACATATTTGGATGGCAACAGCTTGTTTCTCCCTCCTTTGCTTCCCTGCAGTGGATTTATGACTGTGGCAGTGGCCTTTGGGCTCCAGGCTGTTCTCAGCATGAGAACCTCCTAGCAATGCGGTCCCTCTGCGCTGTCAGCATGATGCTGCACACACACACACACACACAAAGACACAACAAAAGGAGGGTAGCATATACTATCAAGAACAAACAAATGTGCAGAGACACATTGGTACACACACACACAAGTGAAATCAAAGTAGACACACACATATATTGTGAGTATGTGTGTCTCAGGTGTCACACTCTCATAACCACACAGAGTGCTTGACATCTTGCACTTGACATTGAATTTACAGACAGCGAATGCTTTTCCATCCATGACAGAGGTGTGTCTGTTTGCAAGGGTGTGTGCGTGCATATTTGAGTGTGTAAGCAAAGGGATTGGTCCTCTTTACCACCCAGGGTTAATAAATACTGGTGTGTGTCCGGCCCTTTGCGAAGGATTTTCAGCTCTACTCCGGACGCTTGCTGTTTAGCTCTGGTTTTTGTCATCTCTGCACTGTTGACTGTGCTCTCTCTTTAGCAGCAGAGATTAACCTGTCTCTTTCAGATTTAAATCAATTATTAATGCATCCTTCCTCACCTCTCGCCTTGCTTCTCTCTCTCTGTTCCTCTTGCTGCTTTGTTCCCTACCTTCTTCTCTGTTTCTTCTTTAGTTTCATTCCATATCCGACTTCATTCCCCATGTGACCACATCTGTCTGCTATACCTTCAGTTTCAGTTTTATTTTTTCCCTCACACTCCTCTGACAGTTGCTGTCTTTTTCTCTGATGTTTGTCTCCCTGGGTCTCCGCTGCTGTCATGGCAGGAGAGAGGTAAAGGCACCTGAGCTGACAGCACTACATGGGAATGGCAGACGGTGTGGTCGCAGGGTCCATGATAATATGTGCATGTCCCCATCCGACCCCAGCTTCAACATCCTGACCACAGGTATGAGCAATATTGAAAATTCAAGCTGCTTATGGAAAAAAAATATTACAGCCACCAACTCAAGCTTCAAAGCTTTCAGGCAGGAAGGGGTCACACCGTCTGGGCCTGGTGCCTTCCTGATCTTTGGTTTTTTTAAAGAGGCTTCATACAGCCTCTTCACAGACCGTCAGAGGTGGGGGGCTGGGGGGAAGGGAGGTGATAACGGAGGGAGCGGCTGTCGGTTGTGGGTCTAAGGTGAGGTGGCTCTGGGGGTGTGGGGTTCTGCTTCTCAAACCTGCAGTAAAACTCATTCAGCTTGTCTGCTAGTTGATGGCTCTCCACAGCAGCGATGTTTTGAGGGCTCCCCCACACAGATGAAGGGTCACTGGCTGAAAACTGGTTTTTGGAGCAGCTCCTCTGTGCTGCTGTGATCTCCCTTGTCCATGTGTTCCTGCCCTGCAGTGAACAGAAGCAGTGAATACATTTTATGTACAGTACTAGTAAGACTAATGGCCTTATAACTAAGTGGTGATTTTGGGTCACTTTTTGATGATTTAGGGATAAGTTAAATAATTGTCTTACACCGATTAGACACTTCTGCATCGCCTCCTGTGGTTTTCCCTTTTCATCTGTGGAAACATGGAAACCATCTGTTTGAACTGGACTGAATGGGGTTTCCTTACATTGAAGAACTAAACACAGAGCAGAAACAGCAGCTGTATTACAACTCAGTAAATGTAGGCTATTGTATGTGTGCACTTCTACACTTAATCAAATGCAGCCAGAATTAGTATGTACAATGGAACTGGGACACAGATTTACATTTTTTGGTGATTTTGATGATTTAGTGTTGCGTTGTCTCAGGTGTGAGCATAGACGATGGAGAGAACTGGTGCTCGCAAGTCAACAGGCTGCAGCAGCTTCTGGATAAACTGGAGTATCAGGTATGAAACCTAATTTTGAAGTGGATGCAACTTTATTTCTGTATCTGCTTGTTGGAACAGACCTATTGTATGTTTTCAGTCAGTAATGTTATATTTTAAATTACTTTTCAACTACACACAGACAGTACACAGACATTTTCAGAGAATTTTTTGGTTTATTTGTGATTAATAAGAGCAATGGGTACATTCATGTAAAAAAATGATGTTTTTCTAAGAGGAGCTCTCTACCTCTAATCACTGATTCTGTATCCTATGACCCATTCACAGTACCACATCTTCTGCTCCATCTCATTCTCTCTCTCTCTTTGTTCTTTTCTTCATTAACTCCTGTTATCCCCATCTTTTGATATTCATTTTCCCCTCCATTCAGTCTCTCTGAAAGCATTTTTTCTCCTCATGTCCTCGATTTTGTCAACCCAGAGAGACTCAGATTGCAATATCGAAACAATTCATAACCTGCAGGATGTTCTGAGTGCAATATCTATCCCTCAGTGCCACCACCATCACACACGTATTGTGTCCATCTTGCTCATGTTCTCTGCTCTGTCTCTAAGATGTATGGTCTCTGCACACACACACACATGCGCACACACACAGCCTTTAACAAGAAAAGCTTATTCCTTATTATTATATTAACTTCATGCCATTATTCATAACCTCATATCTTAGACTACATACATCCCCACATACATCCTCTGCTATTACATTTTTAGCTGTAAGAAACAAAACGGACATGTTGAATGAATGGATGCACCCTTTGTTGTTCTAGATGGTATTTGCTTTGCACAATGGTCTTTGACAAGCATTAAATAAAAAACATGAAAACATACAATATCATAGCAAAACAAAAGAAAAAGCTACCGCATTACAGTAAATGGCTTTATCCAGATACTTAGCCCATTTACTTTGTTAAGTGACAAAAATAGGTGCAAATGACTGTGGGCAAAGGGTTTAAGCTCTTGTTTACTTTTTATTGTTATGTAATGTCAGTGTTGATGTGATGAAGTGAGACTTGTAACAGAAAAGTTGGTGATGCTTGAAAAATCATCCACAGCAATAAACATTATGGCACATGTGTATTTACAAATGAAATATCTGCTTTTTATTAAGGTGTTATAAAAATTAGCTTCTTAATGACTTTCAAGAGAAAATATTGATTAAATCAGAAAAAAACAAAGTTTAGAAAATAAATTCAGCACATTTACAAATGTTTTTCCCTTCTTGGTTACAACTGGTTAAGTAGTTGAATTAACACAAATTCATTCCCATTCCTCTAGACTCACTGATGATTCTTATGCAGGTGTTTAAACCAAAACCCTCTTATCACATTTGTAATGTTTTTTTTTTTAGGGGCCCAAGTTGGAGCCACTGAGAGAGAACACGCTGGCTAGCACATACCAGTCTGTAAGTCTGCACTGATAACAGGATTTCACCTGGAAGTCAAAGCTGTGTGAATCACTGACTAATTATTTTGCTTTGTGTTTTTTTTAAATCTTAATCATTTTAAATGGATAGTTAATTCAGTGGTGCATATAATGGATTATGCCACAGGCTGCCTTGAACTCTACAACACTATATTTTAAGTGGACACACACACACACATACTAAATTAGACAGAAACGAAATACCTAATGTCAAACTATATTGTGAGACTTTTGCATTGTAATCTTGTAACGTTAAGGACAGGGTGACCTAAACTTTAGAGAGGCAAGCTTATGACCTGTAGGTTGCAGGTTCGAGCTCATCAGTGAAAATTGTGTGAATCTGTTTAGTGGCAGGAAGGTGTTTGTAAGGGGTAACTTCCAGGTTTGAAAGCAATGGCTTCTGAAGGCTACCCTGAATAAACAATGGTGACTCTTCTTATCTTCCTGCAATTTTTGCTCTGAGAATGTTAATGGAGAAGTATAAAGATGGTCAGAAGGAGCTGCATCGCGTCTTTGTGGATTTAGAGAAAGCGTACGACAGAGTGCCGAGAGAGGAGCATTGGTACTGTATGAGGATGTCAGGAGTGGCAGAGAAGTACGTCAGAGTAGTTCAGGATATGTATGAGAGGAGTACGACAGTAGTGAGATGTGCTGTAGGTCAGACAGAGGAGTTCAAGGTGGAGGTGGGGCTACATCAAGAATTGGCTTTGAGTCCCTTCTTGTTTGCTATGGTGATGGACAGGTTGACAGATGAGGTCAGACAGGAATCTCTGTGGACAATGATGTTTGCGGATGACATTTTGATCTGTACTGAGAGCAGAGAGCAGGTGGAGGAACAACTGGAAAGGTGGAGGTCTGCTCTGGAAAGAAGAGGAATGAAAGTCATGGTAGGAAGGAATGAATTATATGGCCAAGTATGTTTTTACACACACAAGGAATTTGTTTCTGGTACAGGTTGCCCCCGATGGCTTTTAATCATCAGGGGCAACAGGGGGGTTCAGTGTCTTGCCCAAGGACACTTCGACACGTGGACTGCCGGCACCAAGACTCGGGAGACTTGGGAGACGACTGCTCTACCCACCGCACCATGGTCGCCGCCCCAGACAGAATACATGTGTATGAACGAGAGGGAGGGAAGTGGAACAGTGAGGTTACAGGGGGCTGAGGTCAAGAAGGTTCAGGAGTTTAAGTATTTGGGGTCAACAGTCCAGTGTGATGGGGAGTGTAGGAAAGAGGTGAAGAGGCGAGTGCAGATTGGAATGGGTGGAGAAAGGTGTCAGGAGCGTTGTGTGACAGAAGAGTGGCAGCGAGAATCAAAGGAAAGGTGTACAAGACAGTAGTGAGGGGGACAAGGTCAGAGAGGCCAGATTGAGATGGTTTGGACATGTGCAGAGGAGGGATAGTGGTTATATTGGTAGAAGGATGTTGGAGATGGAGCTGCCAGGCAAGAGGTCAAGAGGAAGGCCAAAGAGGAGATATATGGATGTGCTAAAAGAGAACATGAAGTTAATGGGGGTGAAAGTAGAGGATGCCGAGGATAGAGTTAGGTGGAAACAGATGATTCGCTGTGGCGACCCCTAACGGGAACAGCCAAAAGAAGAAGAAGAAGACTCTTCTTAACTTCCTGATGCTACGGCACAGCAGATTTATGATATACACAACAAGCATTATTTGTCCCTACCTTAAAATTTGACCCATAGGATCCTTCCAGTGGTGCACTTACCTAACCTTTGTCATCATGATAAGAGACTCCATATAACTGTTGCATCACGTATTGGACCTTCACTGTCATGGAAACATCCACCTAAGATTACAAAACAGCCAGGGTTTCATTCAGTTCATGATTAAAATGATCTTTGTTGTCATAGTTACAATAATAAACTTGCATTGAGGGAGAGAGTGGAGTGAATAGATAGGTCAGAAATAGGTCATGGACAGGCCAAGGACTCTATCGCTTTGCATATCACATCACCTAATTTCTTCCTTTGCTCGTGTTATAGTGACTGTAGTCAAGAGAGATTGGTGTATTATAACCCAGTAATTGCACCTCGATGTGCAAGTCATGTTCACTGTCCTCATTCTAAATGTGGAGCAGCACATCTGTTTCTTTCTCAAACAAAATAACACTGAACCATCTGGACCAGCAATACTCATTCTAGCATATTCTAGCTAAGAAACTGACTATATGACAAGCCTCAATATGAAAGGGCCAGCGTATGTTCACGAGAATGAATTTGAGACTTATTTAAATAGACAAAAACCTGAGTCATCATCCACTTGAAGTAGAAATAATGTAAAACCAGTCACAAGTGAGAATGTAACCCATTGTTATGGGTAACTATGATTACAGTTAGATCAAGGTATTTATAACAGTAATTGTAAAATGAATGTAAACATTTATACATGTTTCCATATAGAAATGTGCCTCTTTGTTAATTTTAATATCTTTGGAATACACTCAGACTACACTCAGACTGTCCTTGTGACAGAGATGAGTGACCAAAAGCAAAAATGCACACCATTTCAAAAGATAAATCGTATACTGTACCTTTTCATTGTGTATTTCCATGCACAGCATAAATCACAATATGTGCTTTCCCCTAAACTACAAGTACACATTTTCTCAGCCACCTCTAGTACAGTGTGGTCATTCAGACTGTTCAGATTTTACAGTCCTGAGATTTTGAAGTATCCATCTGCCACCATTGTGATACAACTGAGGTGAATGTAATTTTGCTTGCATCCCAGAACACTGAAAAATTGCACCCCCCTTCATTTCAGTGATCCTTATCTCAAAACTAAACTCTTTTTTGTAATGTACAGTAGATCATCTGAACCTGTTAGCCTGATTCAAGTCTGTGCTTATAAAAGATTCTGTAAGTTTCACTTCATACTGGTTGCAGTAGTGACTCACCCTTGCATTGAATTAATGGGGATGTAAACAAGCAGGAGGCTGACATGGTGCATTGGGAGACCACATGCCAGCAAGAGGAGCTTAACTTAGCCCAGGTTCCCTGAGGAGGACACTGAATAGCTGCCAGCTTGGCGGGTGTTGCTCTGTAGCTGGCCACAGTGATCAGTAAAGGGAAAAAAGCATATTACTTCCTTTGTCAGGAGAAAGCCTTTGTACAGGAAACGGGAGGGAGTCTATTAAACCATTTTGTGAAACATTTATTTGAGAAGTTGCAGAAAGACTGTGCTCTCGCTACTAAATCAGTTGACTCGTTGTAATAAGAACTACAAAAGCAAATTTTTAAAAATGACTTGCAATACTGACTTGCTATAAATTCACATTTGGTTGAGAGGGAAAAACTGACCAGCTGCTGTTGGCATTTTATTATGTGAAGAAAGTGAAAGACACTGATGAGGTATCGTGGTAACACAGTTATTGTAGTGAAGGTTTGTTATCAGTTTGCTGTTTTAACTTAGGAGAAAGTCTTTGATTTTCACTGAAACTATTTCACAATTAGTGCCTCCATCTAATGCTGTGCAGCTGCTTCCACTCAGGCACTCTGCTCCACTGACAAATGAAACTGGAAGCCCAAAGAAAGTGTTTTAATTGGATGCAATATATAAAGAGGCATCACATTTATTTATTTATGTTACTCTCATCTGTTGTTAGTGATGCTGAATGTCTCCTTAGGAAGGCATTGTTCTTAAAGTATCCAGCACTCAGGTGGTCATGTGAGCTTGATGCCTCTTAACACACACACACACAGAAACCTGTTCATCCTCTGGGCTTCTCTCTGTGTCCTGTCTTGTTGCCAACAGAACATTCTGCTGGTTCAAAGGCAGATGTCAGTGATGGATGAAAATCTGGACAAGTTCCAAAAAGTTCTGAAGAGCTACACTGATGCCACCTCAGCCCATTCTGACAACCTGCAGTGAGTGCCGTTTGTTTTCAGGCAAAATAATATATCTTTCCCTCACTGTGTCAGGTCCTGCTGCCGAGGCAACATTTTAATTTTGAGGCAATGCCGAACGAGAGGTTTGTATTTATAGCTATGCCAAAACTTATGTCCATGAGTGAAAAGGTTGGAAAATATTGTTCAGAAAAATATGCCATTAGGATTTTCTCTTCACTATTAGAGCAGATTTTATGTGACCTCACATTTCTAAGCAGCTTGACTGAAATTGAATTTTACAGTAATAATTCTGTAGTTTCACCAAATGGAAGTGTCTAATTTTAAGAGAGTAGGTCCTTGTTTTCTTTAAGTCTTACTTTAATGTTGCCGTCTTCCTTTTTCCCTGCCTAGTTCTAACTGAAAAGAACAGTCAGCCTTTATAATGTAATTTATCCCTCCTTCACTTTGTCCTCTTCTTACTTCACTCTGCTTTTCTTCTCTTACCTGCTGTTAGCATGTCTGTTCAGAAGCTCCCAGGAAAGTCATCTTACATAATGTATGAGTTCTGGCAAGACCGTCTCTCCTGGATGAGGTCAGTGTTTGTGCGTGTATGTGTGTGTGTGTGTGTGGCCTTTTTCTTTTATTGGTCTTATTTTTTTCCTTGTGGGGACCCTAAAACTGGGAGCTCACAGCATTGTGGGGACTTGCTTACCTTATGAGGACTGGATGCTGGTCCCCACAAAGTAAATCATTCAACTTAGGGGAACAGTAAGGTTAGGTTAATGTTAGGTGTTAGGCAATGGTTAAGGTTTGAGTAAGTCTCCAGGAAATGAATGTAAGTCTGTGTAAAAACCCAGCAAGTAATAAAAACAACTATATGTGTGTGTGTGTGTGTGTGTGTGTGTGTGTCTGTGTCAGATATTGGCAGACTATCTGGCGCTCTCACTTTTTTGATGGAAATGTTCCCCACCAGTGAAGATGAACAGATGGCCCACCTCTCAGTTCTCACACACACATACACACATAAAATCATATCTGTGCCTTCCACATATCAATGAATATATTAATCTGTCATCTGTAACATTTTGCAGAGATCTGTTGAAAAATTTGAGAAAAAAAAATTAATTAAGTAACAAACATGAGCATGTGGATTTTTGAAAGACTGCTTCCTTAGATTTATTTTGCTACAGGTGATGCTAAACACAGTCTTCTAACCTTCTTCTCTTTCCTTTTTCCTGCTGTTTTCCTACTCTGCCTTTTCCTTGTCTGTCTCTGTAGCTATCTGCAGTCAAACAGTAGTAAAGATTTCCAGCGTTGCATCATTGACATGTTGGAGGATGCTGAAGTAGTTTCTACTATGTTGCTACCAGGTTTGTATGTCATTAATGTACAATAAATGACAGTATCCTAGAAAATCAGTGCCTGCAAACCCTGCTTAGTATGAAATCAACACATATAAGATATAGACAAACCTCAAAAACTGTACAAGTAGTATGCATTTACTGACTTGTAGTGAAATCTAGTATTCTTAGACTTTCAGGCAGATGCAGATATTTATGTATGAAATACTTAGAACCTCATGTACACAAATGTCAAGAAAAATATCTTGATATTTGTTCACACTGAGGGTCACAGGCATCATGACATTTTTATTTGGTTACCATAGTCATCATGAGTCATCCAGGTCATCCAGTTTTGGCGCACAAGGCTCTCCCACAGGGAAGGCACATTAAACCCAAACTCATGTGAGCTGAGAGGGTTTTGATCATTTTTACTTTTCCGTCCACACATTTGCTCTTCGCTTCTCATTTTTCTTCTGGTTTCAGAGTAGTTTGTGATCCTATTTTGTCGGGTCACTCTTTCTCCTTTGTGTTAATGGCAACTTCTAGTCTTTTCAAGAATGTCTTTAGAAAAATAGCCTGGGTAGGCAGCAGAAATGAAAATGGCAAATTGAGTTAGCCACTACCCGTGTCCAGCATCTGCTCACACTCACTGCATTATTGCATGGTTTTGAAATAACAAAATTACATATTATCCAGCCTATCATCTTAGGCCATGCTGCAAAATGTTTATAGCTGCTCACCCCAAGTGCTGCAAACAGCCCTGATGGTATATGCTGTGTCCCAATTCGATATTTATATATCAGTTGTATACATTAAGTACTACATACTAACTGTCATACTGCTACTGCAGGTAGCATGCAAAAACTATGTTATGTTGTACTAACAGGAAGTGGTGCAATGTTTTATATACATTTACTACTTTGTTACTGCTTTTGTTGTATTTGTTAGAATTTCTCTGGAGCTCTTTATTCGCTATCCATTGTTTTTGGCAGCTGTGCGTAGCTCCTTAATTTCATCTTTGCATTGCATTATGGAACAATAGTGCATGTCAGTGCTCAAAAGCTCCCCAAGATTTAGTTTGACATGTGGAATTTGATAATATTGTCTGTTAGTCCTGCCGGCCATCTGAAGGGTAAGATTAGTTGATATGGTGGTTGCTCTGTGTGTCACATTCAGCTGTTAAATGAATCAGTACATAAAGTTTTGTGTATTATGATAAGATGTAATAAAACCCATTTGTGGAACTCAGGGGTGTAACCAGAACTTTAATGTTTTTGACAATAACTTGGTTTATTAAGCATAAAAGTAGGGAATCTTTTTTAAAGCAGGCATTTATTACCTGTGCGACTACTGGATGTTTCTGATACTCAAGAAAGGGTAGTCTCTCCAAACTCTTGGGGCTAGTCCAGCCCAGTTCACAATCATGACTCCTTTATCTTGTCTTGTCAATCAGTTGATTATAGGCCTATAAATATGTTTCAAAAAGCAAGAGCTTTATTTATTTTTTTCTGCCTCTCTGCATTCTTTGCAGATGGTGATTTAGCCATGTGGTTTGCATGGGTTCTGAGCGTTGCTAGGCTACTGTACATGGTTGTTTACCTCCACATCTGTGACTCGCATGTGTGCATGCTGACATTGACTAACCAGTTCTGATTGGAGTTGGAATCAGATATGGGTTACATCTCAAAGAAGGTTTAATCACATAGTACAGAAAAATCCGATAGTGGAAAACAGAAAAAGACATTAAGAAAAACAACCCAAACATAGCATAAGTAGGTGTTAAGTGCTTCACAAGGACATTTGCAGGAATTCAGCTTGTGTGTGTGCATGATTAAACTAAAACAAAACTGAAATAGGTTTAGAAAATAATTAAATTAAGCCTGGAACCTTGCCATACATAAGCTCAATATTTGATTGAAGTAAAATTAAACTTACAATGAAACCATGGACACAAAATTAAATATGTGAATGCCACTAAAATAAACTTGTATACTTGAGGTTTTTCTAATTAATTGTCCTGTGGAAAATGAGATTTTTAAAGATTTCCCAAGTATTCATTATTAGATGCACACAGGCTAATTTGGTTGTTAGTTTGATCACTGACGACCGGTAAGTTCCTGGTATATGGGGTGCTTTATCTGCCTACAGTACATGCTGTGTTTTAATGAGTTTTTTAAAGTGAATTATTTCTAATAAAATAACTATAAAGTTGCTTCTTTTAGAACAATTCATCTATCATAATGACATATTGATTGTTTTTCTCTACGCTGAGTCTCAGTTTGGTTTGGCTGCTGAGGATACAAGTCAGACCACAATGCACTGATTTGGAGGAAGAGTTATGGTTTATGAGGTGCACGTCAGAGGCACAGGAAGGATATGACTCGGGGAGCAATAATAGAAAAATAAATAAAACATTAAATTTTGCTTCTCCTAGCAGTGGCTGTTATTGTCAGTGCCACTGACAGGCACTGGACACTGCATTCATTTTTTTTTCCAGGAGGAGTCCTGCAGCATCAACCAGTTGTTTTAATGACATGGTTATTCTGCCAGACCTTGACTGCCACTTAATCTAGATATCTTTTAACAGATTCAAGATTGCTGGACTTTGGCTTCAATTTAAAAGAAGAGTGGACAGTATGAAACAGATTAACAATTAAAAAATGCTGTGTATTATAAAGCTCTGATTTTCCCACAGATCAGTTGTTTTGATAGTCACCACTGCCAAATGACCTTAACCACTGACACACTTGTTTGGTGGGTGGAAATGTTTAGCTGATAATTTAGGAGGAAGAATTGCACTTAATATAATGATTAGACAATGTACCACAGTTTTTCCTTTAGGAATTATAAATTGCCCTGAGGTATGCATTGGATTGGTGTGAAGTGACCTAACTCTCTTTCTGTGCATGTGTTTCCTCAGCTTCCTGGTGGATTATGACTAACGACTAACAAGCGAATCCAGAAAGTCACATCTACTGCCTACACTATCACACGGACAAAGACACACTGGTGCACCCACCCACCCGCATGCACACACTCACTCAAGCACATAGACACGTATACAAAAACACACGCTCACACATGCACAGAAGAATTCAAAAGGTAACCATGTGTCTGAATCAACAGGGGACTGAAACAACTGCGTCATCCTGCATCCTTTAATGTTCCTCTGTCTTTGACTGCTCATTATTGTGCTGTTTATTTCAAAACAGATAGTTGCACGTTACTGTATAGCCAATTGAAAGTGACTGATTCTCGGCACTGTAAACACCAGTTTGTTTTTTCTCATAACCCTATTTGTCACTTGTGCTATGTATGGCCTTCTTTTTCTTGCAGTGTTTGTCCAATTTTCATTCCAGTGGAGAACAACCAAAAAGCTGCTAGCGTAGGCGGCTAGGGCAAATACAATTGGAATTGGAAAAAAAAACACAACAAACTCGCCAGTAATGTTTTGTGCTTTTGATGAGTTGTTTACTGATAAAGACAAAATAGGATGAAAAAGCAGAGAGGATGAGGAACTGAAGTGTTAGTGCAGCCTGAACATGCATGCTGATGATGATGAACAGGAACAGTTCCTTTAAATCTTGTCTATATATGCTGTATGATATTGTAGCAGTGTTTTTCTTTCATTTACTATAGGTACCTTACTGTCGTGTGCACCGAATGCAAAAAAAGCTATTCATATAAATGCTATACCTGCTCTGATCCATTGCTACATACAGTGGCAAGTTACTTCTTTATCTCCAGTCTTCAATCTGAGATGCATTCTCTATCTCAAATGTAAGAGAAAATATATTTAATGTATTATGTGTTTCTTTTGCTGCGATGGATTGGCGACCTGTCCAGGGTGTACCCCACCTTCGCCCGATTGCCAGCCAGGATTGGCTTCGGCCCCCCCGTGCCCCCGTGACCCCGTTCAGGGACTAAGCGGTAGAAACTGAGTGAGAGAGAGTGTTTCTTTTGATCATGATAGTTTATTTCACCTGTACATGTTGAAGTTTGGTATATTCATATTTCAGCTGTGCTTTGGTTTGGCAGTAAACAGTAATTGCAAATAAACCAAGAAGCAACTTTGATACACTCATTACTGGTGATCTTATAGTGAACAGTCACGCAAATCTAGCTCCTCTTGCATTTACAGAGCATTATGGGGAGTGTCATTTCATTGTTTAGCTGTCCAAGCCATAACTTCATGGATTTGGTTCACCTTCACTGCTCTCATTTTAGCTGTAGAATGCAGCTGTTTTCAGTGGAAAAAGTCCTAAAAACTCACAGTGCAGCACTAGAACTCCAAGTGAATGACAGTGCTGATATATGTACATATACTATATAGCAGCACCAGCACACTGCTATCTTGTCTAACACTGTCATTCAGTGTTAAAAAGCTTGGGGTTTGATAAGACCAGCACATACTCAACTATATAAATAAAAAAGCTCAGTCGAGTCAGTGAGTTTGGTAATATTTTTAACTCCCCGTTAACCTGAAGGTGATTAAAGCTAAGGTTTGACTCACAACTAGGGAGCAGAGGACCTTTTCACTTGGCTTCTGAGGGTTCTGTTCTGAAAGCTGTAAGTTTCCCTCATGACTTTGAAATATGGAGAGCACTTGAAATTTATTTGAGGTTTCTATGACTCAAACAACTAACACAGGACACGCACATCCATTAAAACGTCTGCAGGTGCAGGGCCAACAACTACTTGAAAGCAAAGAAAAAACTGGGGGACAAAACCTGTCTTCACACTGCATTAAGCTGCCAGCAGTTTAATTCAGCAGTAGCAGCGACGTTTCGATCTATACAAGAGCTTCATCAGGCACTGTCAAACAGATGTCAGTCTGTAGACACACATTTATAAGTACACCTGCTAAGATGCCACTCGGGTGTTTTCAATCTGACTGATTCAAGGACAGTCTGCTTTTAAAGAGGACCAACCAGAACAGAACTGGTTAATATTATACAAATTGTTTTAAAACTATACAATTAATGTATTGTTATGTGTTGTTAAAATTGGATTATTGAGAAAAATAATTAATGGTTTCCCTAATCTTCTTTCATGAATTTATCTTGTTTGATGGGATTCCTTCATTTATACATATACTTGATATTTTATTTATAGTGTTTATGATTGCTCCTCCCATATTGTCATCTTTTGCCCCCTAAAAGGGAGTTTTGGACAGCTCGGTTTAGCTCTGTCCTGATCTGACTGATCTGTCAGTCAGATTGAAAACACCTGAGTGGTGTCTTAGCAGGTGTACATAAATGTGTGGTTCACAACCTGACATCTGTTTGACAGTGCCTGATGAAGCTCTTGTATAGATCAAAACGTAGCTGTTACTGCTGAATTAAACTGTTGGCAGCTTAATGCAGTGTGCAGACAGATTTTTCCCTGCCTTTGGTTCCTACGATTCAAACAAGACACCTCCCTAACCAAGATTATCCAACTGTGATTGCAGGGTATAAGTTAAGTTACAGTCTCCATCGCACCACTGGTTTCCAACCATGCATATCTGTGATCTTGTCACAGATTACATATCTATGCTTGGTCAGCATTTTCAATCAGTGATTGAAAACGCCTCAAGAGGTAAAACCAAGAATATATATGGATTTGTGTTGCAGAAATCTATCTCTCAATACCTCCTATGGTAGTAATAGCCTTGCTGTCCTGAATTCATCTTGTGACCCCTTTGAGTCTCAGGTTGGGAACTACAGGGTTACACCATCAAGCTCAGCCTCTCTTGTCTCCCCAGTGCTGCAGCTACAGGGTTGCCACATAACTATAACAGCTGTTCACTGCAGCATACAAATGGATTTGAGGTGCTGCATGAAGCATAGCTTCACATAGAGCTCAACAGATGCCTGTGTATGTGTCCCCTTCCCTTCTCTAATTTTGCGGTGCAAGCTCTGAATGGCAACAAAAAGACCAGATTCCTCCTTTCAGTCAGTATCTTTTGATGACAGGAATGCTGAATGCTAATTGCTGAAATTATTTGTGCCAGATTTGCAAATGCACACACAGGCGCAAGGTCTGCATCTCTCTGATTGCTGGGGCTATCATATTTCATTGCATGATTTATTCTGGCAAATTGAAGCCCTCGCATCTCCAGCCTCCTGTCAGGCAGGCTGACTGCCGGTAAGGCAGGATGAATATGTAGTGGCCATCAGGGCAGCCACAGATGAGGCTGTGATGATGTGTACCCACACCTCCTGTTCCTCAAAACGCTGAGGGGCAAGTGTCACCACTACATCAATTACTAAAACTAAAAAGGAGCATCTATTCAGTGAATTATAGTTATCAAAAATAAAGCTTGTTGCTTTACTGGATTATTTCCCGCACACCACACCAGATGTCACAAGCAGATGAGCAACGAAATGTAATTTTGAAACAGATCATTAGAAAAATTCCCATTTTTGAAAAAACATATAGCATAATTTTTAATTCTGCTCCCAAAAGCTGAGCTCCATCAGTAATGTAGCTGCTATAAAACTAATTAAAACACTGCTGTTTAAAGTACAGTTCGTTCAGACCTGTTCCTCTGGCATTAAAGAAAGAGTCAGAGACATTTTGAGGAAAGTCTGTTTATTTTCTAGGGGAGAATTAGATGAGAAAATGAATACCACTCCCACATTTGTTTGTTCAAGCTCAGTGAGGCTTCCTGTGAATCTAACAATGACAATGATAATGATAATCAGTTTTATTGGCCAAGTATGTTATACACCCAAGGAATCTGTGTCCAGTACAGAACTGAGGTAGCCATCTGCGCTGCCGTTATAAGCAAGTGGTTTGATTTTATGAAACTCTTAAGGGTCATAACTTGACATTAGAAGATGTAAAGTTTCTAAATGTAAATATGATTTTACCTCCATCTATAGATATAGCATATACAGGTATACAGTGTTCTACCTGATATATTGTCTACAATACCTGGGCAGTTCAGCAAGGATTCATTTGCACAGTCTCTGCTTCATTTTTCAGATAATACAGGGCTACTGTTGGATGTAAAATATGTATAGCAAGGAGAAACTGCTGTGAACTGCATTGTTCTCTTAAAACACAAACCCAGTCGCAGGAGATTTCATCTTGCTCATATGCTATGTACAGCATGAAACACCACAAGCACTGATCTGCTTTCTAGCTACTTGTTTTGAATTAGATAAATGTCTGTGTGCTATTATTCAATACATTAAATAAAAAAAAGTTGACAGCTCTGGCACGTTTCTTGTAACTTCTTCATGTTGACTAAGAAAGATTTCCCTATTATGTCTGCTTCGTCATGCTTGAAAAGGTGTGGGGATAGAGATGAACAGCCAAAGTCAATGTTCAAACCTTGTGTAGTTATTTCAAATTCTACATTTCGCTGAATCACACTGCAGCTTCTCTGTGTACCTCGTGTTTGGCAGGAGAGAAAAGAAGAGAACTGTTTATTTTCTTTCAGGCAGTTGACCTTGGCTCTGATGTGTACAAACACAGCTCATCACTTGAGAAAACCAAGGGCCAGCGCTAAGGTGGCCAAACCACATCTGCTGTCCTGTTTCATTCCTTTCATCCACCTTGGTTTGTCATTTCCTGTGCAGAAGACAACGCACAGAACAAATCCAAAGTCAAAACCTGTGTCATCCCACTGAAAAAATAAATAATGTGAATGTAGGGAGTGACATAAAACCTAGAAGAATGTCAGTGAACAGGTATTTAACAACCCAATCTGTCAATGTATTTCTGCTCACAGACACAAGGAAGCAGTATAAGATACATAAACACAATACAGTTAAGTTCATACAAAAGATCAACTGCACTACAAATAAAACAATAAAAACATGAAAATTAAATAGAGAAGCAGATAATAAATGGTTTTCTGTTTCTGATGTGTTCAAGCGTAGCTTATCTCCGCAGAAATCCAAACAATGGGAGCCAACGCTGACGAAGAAAATGCCTTTGTCCTATTTCATGCCTCAGGTTCTCCGGTTCTTTCACCCTGGAAACTTGATTGTTCCGAGAGCACCAGCCTCTGAAAGACTGAGTCACTCAGGTTTCACCATAGGCTGCTGAACAATACTTATGGTATTTATTATTCCTAACTACTAGTGTTCATAAAGTCATAGTTTACATGCAGATATTTTTTGTTTGTCTGTTTTTCTATCCAAGTGTTGTTTTATGCAGAAGACACGTTTCATCCAGTGTCTTTCTTTATGATGTAGGTCCAGCACAGCTGCAGCAATCACAATCACACCACTGCAAATCAGTCCTGACCTTGAAGAACATTAAGTGTTCATAATTGCATACCATCAAAAACCATTTGCAAATTTTACTAAGAGTGAAACAGTGAGGTGAGAGGGAGCTAGTGTTGGACAGAGCCAGGCTAACAGTTATCACATTTCCTACCTTTTATACTATGGTAACTAGCTGCTTACATATTTACTGTAAACATATAAGGGTGGTATCAATCTTCTCACCCCTCTCAGCAAGAAGATGAATGAATTAACGCAATGCAAAATGAAGATATTCACTATAGGATCCAAGAACCTAATTTATACATACATTCATTAAAGGTCCCATTAAACTATCGGCTAATTTTTGAATCATATAGTGCCAAATGGAAACAGAAGCCAGTATAATTAACTATTAGTTTTCCACATGTGTAAGAGAAAAGTAAGAATAATTAACTTGCAGAGATTCTGTCATTTTTTGTGACCTATTGTCCACATTTGAAAATCATTGCAGTCTTTCTACTGTATAGGAGATTTATAATTCATGAAATAAAAAGCAAGTAAATGTTATCATGATGTGGCGGTTAGCGTTGTCGCCTCACAGCAAGAAGGTTCTGGTTTCGAACCTGGACCGACCCGGTGCCTTTGTGTGCGGAGTTCGCATGTTCTCCCTGTGCCTGCGTGGGTTCTCTCCAGGCGCTCCAGCTTCCTCCCACAGTCCAAAGACATGCAGCTTAGCTTGATTAGTGGCTCTAAATTGCCCCATCTCTCACCCAATGTCAGCTGGGACTGGCTCCAGCCTCCCTGCTGCCCTCTTTAGGATAAACGGTATAGATAATGGATGGATGGATGTTATCACATACTGCAGCAGATCACACAAATTAGATACAAGCCTAGTGCAGAGCACATCAGAAACCATACTGGTTTTGATGCTTGTTACCTGAATGACTCACCCTTTGTGAGTCACTTATTAAAGTAGATGATATAAAAAGCTGAAGAAGTTTTAAAAAAAATGAAAAGACAACTAGAGATGAAAATTGAAGCTGGAAACTGAAAGTAGAAGAGAAATATATTTTTTGCATCACTGCTTTGTATATAGCTGCTTTTTAGGCATCATGAAAAGGACATTGCAAACAAGAGCTGAATCTGAAATTACTTCAATTACTCTGCCTGCCAGCAAGAAACTGGGACAGAAAGCAGGCACACAAGTAATTTAAGTCTCTTTCTCCACAATCGTTATGGCAATGTGTGGTAGCATTTTTACTTAGGAACAAGCAGATGTAAGGCACCACACATGGAGACACCCACTGTCTCCAACAGATACATACATGCGTTTAAACAAACAGAATCATTAGTGTTTGTTGACTCCTCTATTTTGCTTCTTTCAGTGGATAGACTTGAGGTGCAAAAGCTACCAAATAATAACTTAAATAACTTCTTTAATGCAGAATAGAACAAAAGAGGAAACATTCTCAAAAAAAAAAACTGTCCATCCATCCATCCATTATCTATATAGCTTATTCCTGAATCGGTTGGGAGGAGCTGGATCCAGTCCCAGCTGACATTGAGCAAGAGACAGGGACAAAAGATAGAGGTCTAAAAAAAACCTCCATACCTAAACATAAGACGTTCCCATGACCTACACAGCAGCCTACATATAAAGTAACTTGCAAAAAATGCTATACACAAATGCATATTTATAACCAAATAGGAAACCATTTTGCTATCCATGTAACATCTCAGCTACAGAATGAAACCACTCTTATCACAAGCCTGTTACTAGACAGCAACTGAAATAAACAGTGATTCTGGCTCTCACACTGACACACACAATTAAATTTACACAACAGATGAGTCATGTTTCATTTTTAGAGCAAATACACTTCATGACCACAGTGTTTTGTAGATATGCTTAAAGCATCTCAAGAAACAACAAAAGCAGTCCTGCTTTCAACAGCAGGGTTTGATATTAGGGATTTAGCAAATGGTAATTTACTTTTGAAACGTAAACATATTTTATTGTTTAATACTGGATCATTTCCAGTTCATATTTGTTAACTTATGACAATAACATGTTTACACTGTAATATTGCTACTGTTTTTTTTAATCTATAATTTTTATATGATTTTGCTACCACTGAGAAGGTGAAATTTTCAGCTCTATTTCTGAATAACTTTAAGTTTGCTTAGCTCCTCATCAAAAGCCAGAAGGCTCTTGAGAGTATAAAAGATATTTCTGGATAATGCTGAAGAATAAATCATTTCATATATCTTCAATTATGGATTGTGATCCAAGATAGTGTGCATCACAGACTGTTGTATCAAGTCACATTTTCAGGATCTTCTAACTTTTCAAGAAGTTGCAAAGAAATGACATTTCACTTCTCAGAGTATCTCTTACACTGCCACCTGGTGGTTACATATGATAGTGCATCCTTCTACTGCCTGTTGACACTTGATTGAATTAATATTTTGCTTCTTTGATGTAAAACATAGTGGTGACTATCGTAACTGTTGCAGCCAATCATCTTCTACATCTATTGTCTAATGAAGATCTTCAGTACGAACCAACTAAAATATTAATTACTTTCAAAGGTGGAAAACATTATGCATTATGAATGACAGAATGTCCACCCACTTCAGAATTATTCTGTCTCACCAAGAGCCTCCTCATGACTTTATACGTGAATGCAGAGATGCTTCTTGCATATTTTATCAGGAGTCACTGAATGATTCACAACATTAAGGAGACAAACAGGAACATTGGAAAACTGTGTGGCTTTTGAGGAGGGCCTCAACTCAACAATACAAGCAGTAAAACCAAGGGGACTGAAGAAGCTACTGCTGTTTTTAATTCTTTTTCTAATTTAACCCTGCTTAATGAAGTTATAAAATAAATTCATGGTAGGTAATAGAAATACAGTATATTACTTTTTGGAAAAGGGATTTGAAGCTCTGTTATTCATTGCTTTTGAAAAATAATAAGTACATTTACTCAGGTACTGAACTTAAGTACAGCTTTGAGGTATCTGTACTTTGAGTATTTTCATTTTCTACTACTTTATACTTCAGCTTCACTAAATTTTAGATGCAAATATTGTAGTATTTACTCCACTACATGTATTTGGTAACTCCATTTACTAGTTACTTTTGAGAATCTGTATAACAGAACAAACTTCAATATAATCATAAGACTTTTTTGATACCTGGTGAAAAATTCACAAGCTATCAGTACTTCAAATTATAAGCATATAAAGTAATTAAAATTACCCACCTTTTACTGCAACATTAAATGTAATGTACACAATAATGTGTCAATAAATAGAATTCAATAATATAATATACATCAATGTGAAATGTACTGTTCCTCATAATGAGTACTTTTAGTTTGGGCACTTTGAATATATTTTGATGCAAATACTTTGTGCTTTCAATTCAATTCAGTTAAATTTAATTTTATTTTCTTTTCTTTGTATGGCACCACATCACAGGTCATGTCAGGACACTTTACATCATAGGGTCTAGACGTTACTATTATCATTATTATTATTATAGAAAAAAACCCAACAAACAACAGACAGATTCTGAATGCAGGACTTTTACTTGTAGCAGAGTATATTTATACTTTGGTATTATAATTTTTACTTGATTAAAGAACCTGAGTACTTCTTCCACCACTGGATCGGACCATAATAATAAAAGCAATATTTGCTCTGTTCTGCACTCATTTAATACAGACAACAATAAGCCCAAACCAAATTTTGGAAATACTAGGAAATAGTTTGAAAATCACATAAAATTATAGCAATGGTTTTTAAACTGTTTGTATGAAGGGTTCTGAGTTTATGAAACCAGTTTTATGGCACCCAAATATTTCTCAGCTAACAGTAATCAAGTAACATTCAGTTCTACAACCTACTGAATGTTGCCATCGGGCAGTTTCTCAATAACTCTCTTCACACAGTAAAAGAAATGAGGCTGTCATTCAGTGTTAATGAAGAGGTGCCTATGCTCAACTTACACAGCAATTTATTTGAAATGATTCTTACACTCAACATGTTGAATGGCAAGTCAATCACAAAACAGAAGTAACACTTTCTGAAGTGATTTCTTTATTTCATAATTCATGTCAACAATCTTTTTATATGAAGTTATGCCTCATAAAAGAATGTTAAAGAATCAAAAGGGAAATGGTGGCTCACAAAATAAAGACATTCATTTTTTTTACAGTCATCTTACAATGAACAAAAACATCAAGTGTAACAGCAGAGTACCATAAATCAATGTTAACATTTGACTTTATTAATCTAACTGTGACAAAAGGAAAAAAGAACAGAATGATCTGTACATACTAATACAGTTTAGCTCCTGAGATTCTTCATAGGACAGTCACTGCTCTGACCCTGCACCACAGCAATGTTAACACTGAGCATTTTCATGCCTTAACAGCTGACAACCTGCATTACAAATTGTTCTTTTCCGATGAAAACACTGCAATGGTGGAAAATGTGGAGCAACATCTGACCGTCTGCCATACACAACTGGTGATGTGAACAAGTGCAAAAATGAAACTGCAACCAGAAAAAAGTCATGACTGAATCCTCCTGTGCCCAGACAATACAGCCACTATCCCATTTATCTCTGTACCTTGAAGATGCCTGATGATCAGAGATGTACAATAGGGGCCAGAGTTTCTATGTATGATGTGAGAGTTAACTATATATTTATCTCTTGTTCACAAGGACATTTACAGGGAAGGACTAACTCTCTCTTTAGTGAGTGAAAACTTTGGTGATGCAGAAAGGACTTGAGATACCTGAACACTTCATTTTTATATTGCTTTGACAAAAGTAAATCATATGCTTTACAATATTTACTGACTGCACAAATGTTTGAGACACATTCACACATAGAAAAACCTGACAAGAGGTTGGTGAACAGATACTTATGTATATTGGAGAGCTGCAGAGACAAACCTCATGTGGTCTACTGTCAGATTTTCCTACAGGTTGATGACAGATGCTTTATGGCTGGTACTGTTACACTGTTTACATTTACCACCACCACCACCACCTCCCCAGCATAAATCTATACACAACAAAGGGAGGACATCAGCTGATGGGAGGCATCTTTATACCTCACTGTTTTTAATCTCTGCTGTCTTTTCTCATCTGTCTTCTTTTCATAACTTCCTCCCTGCAGCCAGCAATAAACTGAGATCAATCATCGGGTTTTTTCCGCCCTCACACATCCAAGATTTGGGATTCTGAGTTGAAGACAAACACGTTTCCATCTGTTAGGGAGCTCTGTTCATCCAACGAATGCATTCGAGACGAGTCCTTCTGTTCTTTACTAAAGTAAAGGTCCCAGTTGCCATATCACTCAAACAGTCATCCATAATCTGTCTTTTATTCTGCCAAAGATTATGATGAAGAATCTGTTATCCTAATTTATGCCACAAATAGTTCCCTCATTCTGCTGATTCAATTCTTCCCTGTTAAAGAAGAGGGCGGTTCACACGTTGACCACTGAAGTTTTTCACCTCCTAGTGTCCAGTGGTTTCAGGGGCCGAGGCAGGGGTAGAGGGAGTGGAGGAGCGAGAAGCAACCGTAGCCTTCTCTCCACCAGGACTGGAGACTGAAGTCACACTGTCAGAGGCCTTGACCCCGGGCAGGCCGACAGGGGACACACCAGCAGCTACTGCTGCTGCTGGTGCCTCTGACACCG